CTCCCTCAGCCGCTCCTCATAAGGGAGATGCTCCACTCCCTCCATCATCTTTGTGGCCCTGCTAGACTCTTTCAAACAATTCCCTGTCCTTCTTGAACTGAGGGGCCCAGAACTGAACACAATATTCCAGATGTGGTCTCACCAGGGCAGAGTAGAGGGGAAGGAGAACCTCTCTGACCTACAACCACCCCTTCTGATACAACCCAGGATGCCATTGGCACCTGGAGAGGGTCTTCACAAAACTGGTTGGAACTCAGGAAAAGTTGCAAGAAAGCAGAAGAACACAATTCATGTTCTGGTCTCCCTATGGATGAGTTTATCAATTTCATTGTCTATGAAAGAGCTTAAATAGTTTTCAGACTGACAACATCAAGTGAGATGAATTCCAACTTCTGTAGATATGTGTGTATATACACACTCGTATTTTCATATCCTGCTTCCTGTATATATTTTATTAAGAGTTTAATGCAATATATGCAATATATAGAAACTGCCTGTGTGCATAGCACGAAGCACCACACATAGTTTGTGTATGTACACATGTTCACAGCAAATGCAGCTTTCAGAGCAATGCAAAGTGAAGCAAACTCCAAACTCCTATTTGACATAAAATGGCACAACAAAAGTCATCACGGTGCAGCCCTTCTCAATGCAACATTTACTATACTATTTTCTTTTGTGTGTGTGTGTGTGGAGCTGTGTTTTGGTACAGAGGAAGGTCAGCAACACAAAAGCCTTTCCTTTAGCTGGTGTCCCCAGATCCTGCACTTCAAATATCAAATAGCTGCTGTGATCCATGTCTCCAGTTCAGTCCCATTCTCCTGTCCATGGAGGAGAGGAATCGCAGTTCAGTCACCACCTTCATCCTCCTAGGCTTCACCACTGACCTGCAGCTTCTCTTGTTCGTGGTGTTCACCTTAGCCTATGTCACCACTCTCGTGGGCACCATCACCCCCATCATGGTGGTATGCCATAGCTCATGGCTCCATAACCCAGTGTATTTCTTCACTGGGAACTTGTCCTTCCTGGATCTCTGGTATTTCTCTGTCTACACCCCCAAGATCCT